AGCAGGGGTTAATCCTTAGGATGGGGTTACAGGGACAAGGCAGCTTATGCCTTGAGCCTTCAAAAGACAAATTTGACTGTCAAGGAGAGAGACAGTTGTGTGTTCCAGGCAGAAACACAGGTAAGAAAGCAAAACTTCAGTGTTTGCTGAGGCCGCACTGTGCGGGTACTTAGGTGAAAGGGATATTTTGAAGCTAAAGAGAGGATGGGACCTTTCAAGGAGTTTTAATCCTCTTAGAGCCCCTGGAGGGTTTTATACAAGAAAGTGGCAAGTTCAGCAAAAGAAAATAAAACTTAGGTGTTGCTTAAGATAAAAGGCAGAAGGAGTACTTCCAGTTGCTCCAGTTGTGATTTATAATTTGTGCCTTGCAGAAGAAACTGAGCGGCTGAAATGAGGCCTGTGCTTCACTGCCATTGGGAGTAACTTCTGAGGGGACTAGAGGACCAAATTTTGGGTCACCATCCCCATTGTAAGCATTGAGCAAACTGAAATGAATGTATGTCGAGTCCTGTGGAAGAAAGAGCAGCTCCTTCACTTAGGCATTCCTAAATCAATTCCGAAGAGAAATGATAGTCATTCGTTTTGACACAGGAGGTGTTTTTTTAATGTGCTATCAACTTGCTGATTAAACTCATAAATCCTTATTCACTCTCATGAATTTCATTGTGTGGAAGAAGTAATTAATATGACCGTTACACACCGAAGTTTAAAATCATACTTGCTAATTTAAGTCCACAGTCACGTGGCCACTCCTAATTTTCTGGAAATGTATTGCATAGGCTTCTGTTCCCACATTTTCATTGTTGAGAATGGGGTTGTGGAGGGACAGCAGTGTTCATGCTGACTTTTTCTCTGTGGAGATGTTAGATTGGAGTTCATTATCTTTTTTGCTTGATTTCCTTAACGTTTGCCTCCAGACGTCAACAGCAACGAAGGCAAGCAGAGAAAGCGAGGAGGTGGTGGTGGATTTGGCTACCAGAAAACCAAGAAAGTTGAGAAGTCCAAAATCTTTAAACACATTAGCAAGAAATCATCTGACAGCAGGCAGTTCTGTCACTGAACACATGCCTTTCTTTCATCTTGAGTAACTTTGTCCTAAAATGAATTTTTTTTTTCCCTTGATTTGACAGGATTTTTGTAGACTTTAGAATTTGGACTTAACAAGAGTATAAATTGACTTGGGTTGCAAGCACTGAGCACTGTTACTTCTATCGAGTCTCTCTTTTAGTTTTGGGACATAAAACAGGCTTTAATTTTCTTGGTTGCCCAAGGGCAGAGCAAGGAATATCTGGTCTTTCTTGTGATTATATAATATTTTAATTTTAAATATCCCTCCCTCATACACACAAATGTATGTTACTATTTTAATATAATTCTTTTTCTACCTTTCCTTCTTGTTTTGTGAAGACTTTTGTGGCATGGATTGCTGTGCTCACCGCTGTAAAAGGTGACCTAGTATATACTGGGCAGCTGGTGGCAGTGCAGAAAAGATGCTCAGGTTATTTTTTGTTTTTAGTTATTTCTTGGACCTTGACAGTATCCAATGACTCCTCCTGAAAATGCTGCAGTGTAAAAGAGCAGAGAGCTTTGGGAAATAACGTAGGAAGCACCTGATTAAGGTGGCATTGCTTTTATAGATTCTTGATTTTAAAGCAATGGGCCTTTCCCAGGTGTTTCGTTTTTTGGAGCAAAAACTATGGGTTGCAATTTGAATAAAGTGTCACTAAGCAGTTACAACGTTTGATGGGTGGAGGCTAGGAAGAGGATGGAATTGAGATGTTTGAGCCTCATTTACATCAATAGAGGTGTAATGTACTGCATTTCTTCATTTGGTAACATAGCAAAGACTTTAAAAACACATACAAAGAATGGTGATGCTCCTCATTCAGATTTGTTTAATTCAAGGTGGTTTGGATTTTGGTAAGCCTTTGCACTCTGTAGAGTACTTAGAAGACAAGGGCAACTTACTTGGAGTTAGAGCCCCGCCATCAGACAGTACCCAGCACACATTAATGTTAGCTTCTTTCTGAGAAAAAATACCTCTTCCAGGCCCTGCAACAAAAAATACATTTGCTGTGAGGATTGAAAATGAACAAAGTTAGAAACAAAACAGCAAAGTCAGTGATTTAGTCAGGTGAGTTCTTTGTTGTAGGAGCAGTTGATTATTCTAGTGTGTTTTATGTAGTATGTAACTACAAGATAGTACATTTTTTAGCAGTTCAAAACCAAAGTTGCTAGCATCATTTTGCTGTTGTGCCAGTTAATCATAGGATCCCATTAAATTAGTGCGCGAACATCCAATGTAGAGAAAACTTTGGTAAAGAACATTCCAGTAGGAAAAGAAAAGAACAATCTTCCATTTCTGGACTTGGCCACCATCACCCTGGTCGGACCTGTCCTGAGCTTCCAACCTTGACTGCTGGGCTCCTGGCTTAGCTTCTTGGGTTCCTAATTCCTGGTGTTTAATAACTCTCTCCAGGATCATGTTTTTCTGATTATTTTTTTCAGAAATAATGTTTTTTAAAAGACAAAAACAAAGGGAAAAATATTTAATTACTGAGCAGAAGTAAATACTATTGGTATTTTGTACATAATCTGATTTTTATATGCATGTTCGTGCTTTTTAATTTTTTTACCAAAAATGAAGTCATCTACCTACTACTTGTAACCAGCTTGTTTCATAACATGTTATTTTCCTGTGTCATTAAATAGTTACCTCAATGTTGTATTTCGTTTATGGATACTTTGTTGACCCTTGCTTGGTCTGCCAGGATTTACGTTCAAGATACCTACCTGATTGTGCCAGACTGGCTCTCCCTCTCTCAGTATGTCCTGTACTCCTGCTGGTCTTGAGATTGTTTATCTCTAGTATGAGTCAGTCTCAAGAGGTTTTGTGAGAAAAGCATATAAACAAAGTGGACAGGGTTGGCCCTGCTATATGAGAACTTACTTCAGGTCCATTAGCAGCCTCATCCATGATCTCCATTACCTGTAGTCAACTGTGGTCTAACTAGGTCAGTACAGTACAATAATACACTTTGAGAGGCCACATTTACATGACTTTTATTACAGTATATTGTAATTGTTTTATGTTAATCTCAGTGTGCTAATTTATAAACTAAACTTCTGTCACAGGTAATGTATAGGAAAGAATATATAGAGGGTTCAGTGTTGTCCACAGTTTCAGACGTCCACTGGGGGTCCAGGAATGTATCCCCGGAGGATAAGGGGGAACTACTGTACTTGCTGGGTGCTGTTTGTGATTGCAGTGGCAGGATGATCCAGGCTATGGACAAGAGACAACCAGACTTGACCAGCCTGGCCATATTCAGACATGAAGGAGCCAGTTACTGGTATCACGTACCGTGAATGAAAGCAGCACCATCTGCAAGGCTCATGCACAGTAAGGGCTTCATAGGTTCCTGTGCTAAGAGCACATTTGGTGGCAAATGTGGGTGTTTGACAGGTGGGATTAGGTGGCTGCAGCCATGAAGGTTTGAAGGCAGAATGTGAGGTGGGGGAGCCAAGCACATCACTACATGCCAGTAAGTCTTTGGGTCCTGTGGGCTGCAAGTGATGACATTGCTGTGTCCAAATTTATTTAGTCTCAGCCAGCCTTGTATAAATACAACAAGATACCCAAAACAGGATCCCTAAGTTATACAGGGGTTATAAGTGAGAGCTCTGTAACCAGAATGCCTGGATTCAAATTCCAGCTGGTGCCACTTGCTAACCTCGGGGCTGATTCAGGAGTGATGCGAAAGTAATACTTCCTCCTTCAGAAGGCGGTGCTCAGGACACTGCCCGGGTGCTGAGTGCTCTGTCCATGGTACCTGCCTCCGTGCGCCTTACACGAAAAACTTGCTGCCATACAGCGGCAGATACAGAGGCTCATCCCAAACCCTGAGGCAGTCTGGGCTTTGGCATACAGACAGGATTTCTAACAGTCTGGATCTCTTGGAATTCTGGAGAGCAGACCTGGGCTTTGGAAAGTGGTCCAGTCCTGCAGCACCTTCCTAAGGTAGCTGTCAAGTATATTAATGCTGTTTTCAACATTACTGAGTGTGGGGTGGCAACAACAGTGTAGTGTGCCTTTGGATAACCTAATTCATCATAAATTAAAAGCCTGTTAGATGTCACAAACTGCAGAGGACACGGAAGAATATGCCCAGATCCTCCTTAGGATGGATACAGATTAGAGAAGGTTCATCATAAATTAAAAACCTGTTAGATGTCATAAACTGCAGAGGACACAGAAGAATATGCCCAGATCCTTCTTAGGAGGGATACAGATGAGAGAAGGTAGGCATAAATTGTGGCAATATTGTTTTCCAAATGATGTGACAGATGCAGGCAAATATTCCAGCTATTTTTATTAAGCCTGGAAATCCTGCGTCCTCGGATGCAGGTAAATATTCCAGCTACTTTTATTAAGCCTGGAAATCCTGCATCCTCGGATGCAGGCAAATATTCCAGCTATTTTTATTAAGCCTGGAAATCCTGCGTCCTCGGGTCCTAGTAGTGGACTATGATTTTCTTGCCCCATCTCTAGGAGATTCTGATTCAGTAGGCCTTTGCCAGGGTAGAGGTATGCAGGTGATGCTTATGCTCAGCTAGGTTTGGGAGCAGCCAGACTAGAATCCATTCACATACAGACTCTTAGTAAATATTTTCTACTGTCACCTTGCAAACTGAAAGTGCCCAGCAAAGGAAATGGTGTTAGTATGTTGTAGTCATTCACAAACTAGGGCTGCCCGGAAGAGAGAGAGGCTGGGGCTTTCGAGAGAGAAACAGCTGTGTTTCATTTGAATGCCTGGTGTCAGAAGTAGGACAGCCTAGCTTCATGGAACCTCCTTGCACCAGACAAAACCTCCATATCCCTCAACAGTGCTCCATTCAATCCCTGTCCATTGGTGTTGGACCAGAGATGAAACCAATTTGCCTTGGCCACATGTCTGAGAAAAAAAGCCACTCTCCCTTCTGGAAATCAGGCACACGTACCTTTCATATAAGAGGCGAATGTGGAAAATTCCAACTGGATGATCACTTTTCTGTGGAGGGAAAAACACACATTTTGTTTTGAGGGGCTACCCAGTATCGAACTTTTTTTTGAGACGGAGTCTCGCTCTGTCACCCAGGCTAGAGTGCAATGGTGCGATCTCGACTCACTGCAGCCTCCATCTCCCAGGTTCAAGCGATTCTCCTTCCTCAGCCTGTTGAACAGCTGGGACTACAGGCCTGTGCTACCACGCCCGGCTAATTTTTATTTTTATTTTTATTTTTATTTTTATTTTTTTGAGACAGAGTCTGGCTCTGTCACCCAGCCTGGAGTGCAGTGGTGCGATCTTGGCTCACTGCAAACTCTGCCTTCCAGGTTCACGCCATTCTCCTGCCTCAGCCTTCCAAGTTGCTGGGACTACAGGCACCCACCACCACACCCGGCTAACTTTTTTGTATTTTTAGTAGAGATGGGGTTTCACTGCGTTAGCCAGGGTGGTCTCCATCTCCTGACCTCATGATCCGCCTGCCTCGGCCTCCCAAAGTGCTGGAATTACAGACGTGAGCCTGTTGGCCAGGCTAGTCTCAAACACCTGACGTCAGGTGATCCACCCGCCTCGGCCCCCCAAAGTGCTGGGATTACAGGTGTGAGCCATCTCGCCTAGCCTGCATCCAATCTTTTATTTGGAGACAATACCTTTCAAGTACTGGTAGGCTGCTGAGATCACCTCCCATCAGACAAGCAGAAAGGCCTCCCATGCAGCCAGGGTGGGGCTGTGACCTGGGTTTGACTAATCACATGCACTTGCCCAGAGTGAATCAGTTACTAACTAATAAAACAGGAGCAGAAACAGTAGATGTAGCAGCTTTCTCATCCAGGGTCCAGAAGCAGCTGTGTTGGGAACAGGCAGCTCCAGCTGTGGCACCAGGCAGCAGCCGCACTCACACCAGGTTGAGTGTGACTGAGTGTGTGCCATGACTTTGGCTGGGTTCCTGCCCTTTAGCTACCTGCCCTTGTTCCTGCCTATTTTGCAAGCCTAGTTCAGCAGCTATTTCATATCTTTTCAATTCATTCTGTTTCAGTTTAAATTTCTCAGAGTGGTTTTTTGTTGCTCATAATTAGCCCAAGGATATAATAGCCGCTAGGGTTTGGTTTCCCTCTCCCTCTTGTTGATGTGTCCAGGTTGCTTGCCACCATTCGTGCCCTCCCTGCCTGGAGCCTCTACCCCTTGGCACAGGGAAAATTGGACATTTTGAGCAAGGCCAGGACTTTGAAACATCGAGGGCAAGGATGCGTCGAAAAAAGAACAAGTGGCAAACTCACCTCGGGACAGGTCATGGGGAAACTGCTCTGGAGGTTTGGGAGGCAGGCAAAAGCGGGATGCTTGGCATCACTGGGAGCCTCTAGAGGAGTGTCCACAGCTGGGAAAGGGGGAGTCAAGGGTTGTCAGCCCTCCCAAGGCAGCACTTTCTGGAGTCAGGCAGAATATACAGGAGGCTTGGGGCAAGTGACTTCCCTGCTCTGTGACTCAGTTTCCTTATCTGTAGAACGGAAGGAATGAATACACAAGGATTAGGTGCACAGAGTCAGGCCAAGTCAGGTCTTAGAAACAAGAGCTAACACACTATTACCAGGAACATCAGGAAAAGCGGGAAGAAGGTCAGAAGCGAGAAAAACGACGTTTTCTAGGACTTACCGGTTTCTCACACTCTCTCCCCACCATCAAAATCATGGTTTCAGAGGCATTAGGCCAAAAACGCCAAAAGGAGCCTCCTTCTGGGAAGTCTCCGGCCTTTCCGCGGCACCCAATGTCCCCAGCAGAGGGCTCTCGGCTGTGCCGACTCAGGACAGCGGCTGCGACCGGGCCAGCTACGCTTGTCAGAGGAGCAGCTGGTGATTTTGACTTGCCGTTGCTGGCAGAGAAGCGCTATAAAGGGTTCATTTTATCCAGCTTGAGGAAAGAAAGGTTGGAGTATAGGGGAAGAGTGGGACAAACACGCGACTCGGTCGTGCCCAGAGCACGCGCTAAGGGGGACGTGGAGAGAGGATTCTGACTCCCAGGCTGCTGAGGCTCTGGACCAAGTGCCCCCTGTACTTTAAGCGCTGTAAGCCTGCCGGCCGCCCTGGGAAGGACAGTCTTACCCGGACGTCACAGTGAGGGAGCAGAAGCGCAGAGTAAACCGCAGATAGGAGGGCGCCTAACCTGGACGCCAGCGCGGTTTGCTCAGCCCTAGGGCCGGGCGCTTTCCCGCTCCCTGACCGCCTCCTCTTCCTCCTCATGCAGAGCTGCCCTTCCCTCCCTGCTGCCCCCAGGGAATGCTGCCGGTGTCCTCAGATGCGGGCAGGAGAAATCTGCCAGCGCCTGAGAGCCTGGCCCGAACCAGGGCTGGAGGTGCTGGGGCAAAGACAGAGGATGTGGCCTCCAACCCTGAGACTCCAGCACAGAGGGTTACCAGGGCGGCTTTGGGTGAGGAAATAGAAAAAGGTCAGACTCCCTAGGAGCAGCGCCCTGGACTCCATTCTGATAACACGTATATTTGTTTGGCTACTAAGAGTAAAAGCCTGGGCGTGCAAGGGTGATTCCAGCCCCCTCCGACAAACTTATGTGAGAGGGATCTGAAGAAAATCCAGGGGGAAATGTACCACAGAGAGAAAATCGCCATCTCAAGGACTGAACGCTCAAGAACGGCGCTGGGTGGGCTCCGCGTTGGAATTGAGTCCTGAAGGATGTTCTAACAGCAAAGGGGAGAAAGGAAGGGAGAAGCCAAGGCATGCAGGCAACGTGAACAGCATGAGCCAAGGCAAAGGGGCAGCGTGGGGCTGGACCCTGGAGTCTGCCGTTGTCTGAATTCTAGTGCTGTCACTGACTAGCAGGGGACCTCCCTGTGCCTCCTGGCTGTCACATGTAAAGACAGAATTGCCACCCAGCCCTTATACCGTAAAGGTTATATGAACTAGCACTGTGAGCAGTGCAGAAATATTAGCTGCCGTTAGCAGAGCATGCTGTACACTTTGAGTTATCATAAGAATGAAATAAATCAACAAATGCAAAGCAGGTTTTGCATAACAAAGACTAAACAAGTGTTAGCTCCTTTCCTCCCTTCCCGCCGGTGAAAATGCTGTCATATGATGTCCTTTAATTATTTTGTGTGGTTAAACTTCAGCTTATTGGCCAGTTCATCCTTGTAGATACAAGTATTTTTAAAGCCTCCAATTTTAATTTCCTCACAGACCATTTCGGTACTTGTCCTTATATCTACTTCATATTGAAATGTTCTCTTTCTGTTTCTTTATGTCTCTGCATCTAGACCAGTGGTTCCCAATTGAGGTCAGTTTTGCTCCACAGGGCACACTTAACAACATCTGGAGACATTTTTAATTGTCCTGACGGAGAGGGGAATGCTATTGGCATCTAGTGGGCAGAGGCCAGGGATACTGCGGAACATCCCGCAGTGCCCAGGACGCCCGCCACACAGATTATCCAGCCCCAAATGTCAATAGTGCCGGGGTTATGAAACCCTAATGAAGACAATTCTTGAAGGCATAGACTGAATCTTACTTATCTTTGTTCCCTCATGTCTCATAAGCAGAGTATGAGTTCAGCAAATAGGAGTTGAACAGAAATCAGGAGGTGCTAATTGACAGGAAAAAAGAAAGATTTAGTTTAGAGTTGAGAATTCAGCTGGACAGCCAGAGGGGCTCTGGCAAGGAGACTGGAATTCAGAAGAGAATTTGCAGCAAGACATTTAGAGCCATTTATCCAGCCATCATAATTTTATTGAGTAACTATTTTGTGTGAGGCACTGTACTAGATGCTGTGGCAACAGAGATAAGCAAGGCCACCCCTATGAATAAGGCACTCCTGGTCTACACATAGTGAGAGAAACATAGAAATTCATCTGTTCTCAGCGGAGCCAGTGGGAGCCCAGGGGATGGACACCCAGCGTGGTCTGAGGAATCATGGGCCAAAACAGGAGGCATCAGTAGAGATCTCTGGTAAAGAAGAGTGAGGGCTGGAAGGATATTCCAGGCAGTGGGAACAACTTACATAAAATGAGAATGGCGGAAATGCCTAGCAGGGCTGTAGTGAGAGGGTCATGAGGCAGAGGAGTGAGGTGCATAGCAGGGAATAGCAGGTGGGGCCAGAGCAGTGAAATTGACCATTGTTCTATTTGAAGAAGGGTAGGACGCATCTATAGGTTTTTTGGCTATTTCTCTTTTTGGTAATAGCATCTATATTCTTTAGAGAATTATCTCTTCCCCCTCAGTCCTCTCCTAGTGGAGGTACAGGCATGAGAAAAAGCTAAATCAATGACATGTTCTCAAATATAACTTACAATCCCAGGAGTCATGATGAAATTGTTGAAAAAAAAATAGTTGAAGCTCACTAACCTTAGTATTGCATTTCAATGAGATTCTCAAATAATTCCTGTTTCTCAGGTCCCTAGAGCTGCTGAGTTTCTGACTTCTCTAAGCTAGGTTTGCAAGCCTTCCCTTCAATTCTGTAAGCCTTTTATTCCCCCCATTTTTCCTTAAGTTACATAGTCACTTTCTGTTACTTGCAACCAGAGTAACTTAATTGATAAAGTCAGTGAGGAAGGAATAGAATACAACAAATGGCTTAAACACAGAAGGCTGCGTGTGGTGGTTCATTCCTGTAATCCCAGCACTTTGAGAGGCCGAGGCAGGTGGATTGCTTGAGCTCAGGAGTTCAAGACCAACCTGGGTAACATGGCAAAACCTCATCTCTACCAAAAATACAAAAAATTGGCTGGGTGTGGTGACTCACACCTGTAGTCCCAACTTCTCAGAAGGCTGAGGTGGGAGGATTGCTTGAACCCGGGAGGCAGAGGTTTCAGTGAGCAGAGAGATTGAACCACTATACTCCAACCTGGATGACAGAGTGTGACCTTGTCTGAAAAAAAAAAAAAAAAAAAGAAGGACAATCGAGACAATGAACTAACACAGAAGCCATAGTGGACTTTCTTCAATATTTTAAGAAAGGTGAAAAATAGCAGGAATTTAACCTCTCAAAAATACTAGTCCCATTATCTATTCTTCCTCAGTTACAAAGCCCCTGATTTCATCTAGGCACATGGCTGCCCAGAAGAAGACAGCCATGTCTGGCCCCTCTTAAACCTAACTGTAGTTATCTAAGTTCCAGTCAATGATATGTCAGAGGAAGTATCATGTATTGCAACTTCTTAAGTAGCCTAGAAAGATGTGGTCACATCCCCTTGGGTTGTTACCTTCTTTGTGTCATTTTGATCTCACTGGCTGGAAAACAGAAATGATGTCTGGAGTGTAAGCAGCCATCTTGGGCTAGGAGACTACATGCTAACATGGTGACACCACCCAGAAAGAATCTGAGTAGTCGATGATCACAGAGCTACCATGTCACCACTAGACTCTCTACCTCCACATTTTATTTGTGTGACATAGAAATATAGTTTAAGCTTTGTTTTTTTCTGGGGTGTATGTGTGTGCACATGTGCATATCTGTCTGTCTCACATGCAGTGAGACCTAATTCTAACTCATATGCAGATATGATGGGGGAACTTTGCCACAAGGTGTCGTTGTGGTTTGATGGCTGTGTCTTGCTCCCCTTCAGGATCCAAAATGGAAAGCTTGTCCTTCTTCCTGTTCCCCTGGATGCCAAACGATGGGCCCGAGACCCTGGCTCTGCCATGTGGATGCTCCCACTCAGAACTTTGGATGTGCAGTGATTCCTACAGAAAGGGCAGTGAAGATGCCCAGACCACAGCCACACGGTCTCCATCACAGCAGTGGTGTTCTGTGGAATGAGTACTAATTTTCTGGCCACATTTTCTGTTAAAAACTAGTTGTTGAGCTGCCCAGTAGTCTTGGTCAAGGGGTGCTGGAGTGGCCTGGGAAGGCAGCGTTGTTTGCTTTTCTTAGGATGGAACAGACTCAGGCATATTTTTGGTCAAAGCGAAAGAAGAATTCAAAGGTGAGAGAGGTTGAAGATTAAAAAGGGAAAATGAGGGTATTTAATGAAGAAAAGTCACACAGAAAGCTGGCAGGCGAGTCTGATTTTCCGACTGGCCTGGGAATCAAATTTACCCACATTCCCTACTTTAAAGGATTGTCCTCTGATCATTCCAGTTGGGTTAAGCCCTTTCTCATCAGTCATGGACAGAGCAATGTACCTGCCTTTGTTTTCCTTAATTCTTTCAAGTGCCTTTGGGTAATAAATGGTTGAGTACTCAGGTGTTTAGTCCAACTTTTTCTTCTTCAACTCTAGGTAATTGCTTTACTTGCCAGAATAGGTTACCATAGCAATATTTTCTGAGCAATAAGTGAACTGAATTGTACTATTGAAGAAGCCCAGGAGAAAAATACTAATAACAACATGAGAAAGTCTAATCACTTTATGGAGCCTCAGGGCTGTTAAGAGGGGGATAAGATGGACTCCCTGGGTGATTAGGAAGTGCTGCTGCCAGCTCACATGGGACGCAAGGTGACAAGCCGCCCATGATCCCCAAATTCCCCCATCTCCTCATTATCCAAGTCCCCCATCCAAGCTGCTCAAATGACAAAAGACAAATGTAAATTGGTAAAACATATTTGAAATCCATATCAAAAAGGGGTATTTCACAAAGCTCTCCAACGGGAGGCCTAGGAAGATGGTGACAGCGATACCAGAATCATGTTTGGAGCTTCCAGGGTGCTCATGTGAAAACAGCAACCAAAACTGAAAAGTTATGGACAACAAAAGTAGGTGACAAAGTGTCACCTTGAATCCCAAAATACAAGTGGGTGGGACAAAGCACCAAACTGCCACAGGCCTTGCTTGTCATCCGCAATGTCTGGAGGAAGTCGAGGGGAGTCATGGCCTGGAACAGGAGAACCCAGAATAACCAGTGGAGGCCAGTGTGAGAATCTCAGTGGAAACTGGGAGGTCCTTCTCTCTCTGCAGTGCGCACAAGTCAGTCACCTGCCAGGTGATCTGAAGGTGTTGAAGGAGTCTAGCCCCTATGAATATTTTCTTGTTTTACTTTTGTCCCTATTTATTTATTGAGATAGGGTCTCACTCTGTTGTCCAGGCTGGAGTGACTTTTTGGGTAATCCTCCCATCTTAACCTCCAAGTAGCTGGGACCACAGGCACACACCACCAAGTCCAGCTAATTTCTTTTTACAGTTTGTAGACATGGAGTCTTGCTTTGTTCCCCAGGCTGATTTTGAACTCCTGACTTCAAGCAATCCTCCTGCTTTGGCCTCCCAAAGTGCTGAGAT